ATCACAGAAACTTTCGGTTTTGATCATGCATCATGAACTATAAACAATCAGGTCAATTATGATTATTTGTTTGATTTTTATACTTGATTTACATGTGAATCCCACATCTCTCCCTTATTATTATTATTATTATTATTTTTAATAAAATGCTGAAGTGGTAGGTAGATGCAAGAAAGGTAGAAAACATAGTTTAGTGCTGTAAGAGGGCAAATGTAGATGATCAGGTCTGTGCCTATAGACTAAGTATTAATCCAAGCTAGACAAGGGCAGCAAAACATCCACGGAATATAGCAGTCTCTTTTGAGTCCCTATTTCTTTCTTTTTTTGGCAGTCTGCCTCACTACTGCCATCCAAATGTGTAGGTTTTTTTTTTATTCTAATACTTAAAATAGTCACTTTTATATCTCTTCAGATATAGGTTTTTGCTTAGAACTTCTGAGCACGGTCTCAAACTATTATACATTATTACTACTTCTACAGTATGTAGAAGGATTTTTTTAATTTAAAGGATTTTTAACAAGTCACTAGAGTTGGGTGACAAGTTGGTCTGAAATTTCAAAGTACCACCGATCTCTTCAGATAAAGTATACTGAATAGCTCTCATATTTTGAGTACTTACTATGGACCAGGCATTTCATATATGTTATCTCATTTAATCCAGAGACTACATCAGAGACAGGTATTATTCGCATTTTCATGCAAAGAAATCAAGCCTCAAAAAGTGTAGGAAATGCCCAAGTTCAAACAGTAGTGGATTTGAACCACAGTCTCTTTTGACAATGTTTCTGCTCTTGTCTGCTCCTCACATTCCTTCTACATCTTGAGGAAATAAAAGCTAGGTCATCCTCCCCACCATATTCTTGTCTAGGAATCAAATGAAAGTGTTGGAAGTGAGACTTCTCTAGTATATTTACTTTTGACTTTTGAATTATGTAAATGTTTTACACTTTGTGAAAAATAAAACCAACAGGGAAAATAAAGGTGGCCCCCAAACTGAAAATAAAAGGAAACTGATAAACTTAACGCTTTATCAAATTGGTTGCATAACCACACAGAGAAAAGAATTATTTCAAGTGACTTTGGAACATGTTTGGTATAAATTCTGGCATACATTCTGGCATACTCTAAGGAAAGAGAATTGCAATTAATTTCAAACTTCACTCAGTAGTTTTATTATTAGGAGGAATATTTGTATCATAATTTTGAAAGTACTTTGTATATTAGGTTAGGACAAATAACATGTTATTTGTATCTAAATTTTTCATTGTGAGAGAAACGAGACACATAGAAAAATTGAAACCCTAGGTTAAATGTGACATGTTAATATGAACTCATGATTTAGATTTTTGCTGTCTCTATTCACTGACAAGATCTAAAAGCAGCAATGTCCCTGTAGCAATGTTAACTGAGAATCTATCCCTCATTCTTGATGCTTTTGCTGCCAATTCTGGGTAAGCCTCCCCACATAGGTGAGAGAGGATTGCATGTCCTGGGCCTAGACTCTTTCAGGTAAGGAAATAATCCAGTGCTTACTTCAGCAGCCAGGGATTTCCCAGTTGTTGACCAGGGGTGTGGTCTGCTCCTGGTTTTCTCCATCATCTTTAAATGCCTTTTGTAAAGGCTACATTGCTAACTAATGCTTTTATGTGAAAGTGGACTTTTTTGGGTGAATGTAAAGAAAGGGTTGTATCATGTCTTTGTTGATGGAAGGTGTTGAGAATAGAAAATCACGAGAATGTAAATCTGTGGGAATTAGCAAAAATTCCTGGAAGAACTTCAGATTTTCAAAGGCTATATGACTGGTAGGATCAAAGCTGATGTGACCAAGGAGGGGTGGTCCAGCTAAAATCTGGGATCTATGAAGGATAAATAGAAAATTGCACTACAGTGTGTCTACAATAGGAAGAAAGGATAGAATTGGAAAAATACTAAGGCCCAGGGAAGCAAGGAAGGATCTAGAAGGTCCAGGGAGGAACCTACTAGTCTGGAAACTGTGGGGAGGGATTATGGGCTCACCTTCCTCTTATCAGTCCTCTCTTACCCTCAAGAATACTGTCACTGATCCCCAGCTCCGTGAGGGGGGCCCAGAACTCTGGTCCACAGCGCACATTACAACCATCAGTTGTCTGATGCTGCCTGTCACAAAAACTCTATCAGATGCCTCTCAGTGAATCTTGGAGCACTAGTTCCATTTTACATATTCTATGTTTTATGGGGTTCCTTTTTCCATTCTTCTACTATTTATAAAGGAATTAAAATTTACCAACATTTAGGAAAAACAGCCCTATCAGTTTGGCAAAGGAACATTAAGATCAGCCCCCAGCAGGTAAGAACTTTTTCATCTTTCTCTTACTACTTTTCTAAAAAGAATCATGTTGACACAGTGAGCCACCTGAGATGGAAACGTGCAGGAAAGATTAGAATGTCACTGAGGGGAACAGGGCAGTGGTAGGAGAGGGAACTAGTGTGATAAGGTTTATATTTGAAGTTCACAGGTCCTCTAGGCATGGTAGAGGGCTCTGGACAGAACCCTTACCACAGTGAGTCACTGGCCATGGACTGGATTATTGAGAGAGTTCAGGATACCTGCAGGAGGACACCATCCCAAGTCAGGTGTCTCTGGGCCATGGCTATCTTTTGTGCTGGGGCTGCTGGCAAGAACAATGTTCTGAGCCTCTGAAAGCCTCAGATCAGATGCTGGGACCGAAGTTCTGTCATTAGCGTCAAGTCCTGTGTGGAGTACACATATGCCTGCAGTTCTGGGAATCTGTGTCCATCTGGAGAGGACAGGGACTGAAAAAAATCAATTGAACATGACATACAGAAAACCCTTCTTGAAATTTTCAAAGGAAAAATGGACAATATTTTTATCCCCTTTAAAGTGAATAACAGGGATGGATCATAGAGCTCTATTAATTCAATATAGAAAATCAGACTAACCGTGCATTGTGGGTGTCTGCAGCTTGCCTAGAGGGAGAGTGAAAATTCAGTCCTAGCTACTCTCTCTCCTCGTCTCTTAAGATCAGTGCAGAGTCAAAAAGAGGAACAAAGGTGTAGGTTAAAAGGCAAGGTTTTGTCTAGTCAACACTTGACTACCCAAAATTTAATCTTAATCTCACCTTTCCATGAGGATCCAGGTCCACAATCTCAGAATATCAACTGATTCCTATTAGAAGACAGAGCCCTCAGCAGGGGCTCAGAGTCCCTGTTCTGCCCAACCACCTGAATAGAAGGATGGTGGAGCTGGGCATGGGTCTCACCCACTGGTGGCAGCGTGAGGTCTGCTGGGACCACTGCTGGCGTTGGAGGCAGACCCTCCGGCCCTGACCCTCGACGGGCTGTTTACCTGCCTCAAGGCTTAATCCTCCACAGTTCCAGACCTCGCAGGGTTGCTGTGAGGATCACAGGAGATAATGTCTGAGAAAGGCCTTACTATTATTGTCACGGACTCTTTTATCTTGAAGACCAAATCTGTTGACTTTAGAGCCTCAGTGTCCCCCAAAGGGTCATTCCCCTCAGCCTCCTAACGCATCACTTTGCTCCTCCCTTCACAAGAACCCATGCTTTTGGATTCTCAGATCGGAGAAGCTGCCTGAAAGAATCTGAGGTAGCACACAGGATGGGCTTTCCTGGAGAACAGATTAGTCTCTCTCCCCTCCCTGCGATATCCCTCTTCCCAGGATGGCTGATGCAGCCTCAGGGCCTGGCCTGCAGGGGAAACCAGTGGGGAAGGGCATGTGAATGACACCTTGGTGTGAGGAGTATGACAAGGCTGTGAGGTCTGGGATGCTGGGGAATATAGTGTTTCCTGCTCTGCAGGCCCTCATCCCAGCTCTCTTGAGTTTAGCTTATTCCCCTTGTCTTCTGTGGCCGCTCGGACAAGCTCTCCCACAGACAATTCCTGATAGCCTTTCAGTCAAGATCCCTGCTGTGCTCTGTGTGATGTAGGGGCCACGGAAGCTGGCATTCTGCTGTCTGGGGAGCCTGCGGGAGATGCTGCCTCCAGTCCCTGCTCCCACTGCTCCTTGGAGCGGGTGCACTTGGCCTCTGCCTTCAGCCTCTTGTTGACCTCAGAAGGGCCATAACTAGCCCTTGTACCTCTGGTTTCCACTTATCACTGGATTCTCCAGAGGCCCAAGTTCCAGACCGTTTATGGACTCCATAACACTGGCTTCCATCTCCTCTGTGGACTCTCCAGAGGTACATATATCTCTGTCACCTCTTTGCTCGAGTTCCCTATGGGGCCCATCTTCCCTCACTGAACCGTTACGGTCTCCTTTCATCTGTGTTTTATTTTCTCAAAACACCTCCTTGTCACTCCTGTCCCCTCCATCAAATTTCCAACCAAAAGGTTTCTGAGCATTGTTTTGTTTAGGATCCACACCTTCCTTTCTGTAGATCACTTGATAGGGGGTTTTAGAATTCTGGTTATTTGGCCCATTAAGCTATTTTTCATCACCACATCACTTCTTGGTTGAGTCTTATCACCTAGGAAATCAGCTGATTAATTCCATGAAATTGGTAGCAAAGGAAGTTGGGCGGCAGCACCCAGAGGAAAGTAAGTGCAAACCCAGCAGACGGAATAATTGAATGTTGTAGCCGAATTATGAGCAAATGGCCACCTGATGTTGGACTCATACCAAGGAATGACTAAGGTTAAAAAAAAAACAGCATTAAAGATAAAAACCTTAGAGGTATCATAGAAATAGAAAAGAATTGTCAACAATTTAAACATTAACTTTGCAGAGAGGAAAGAACAAAGAAAAAGAGCACAAGCAGATGCAGGTTGAAGCCTGGCCCTCTGTGGCTCCGGTGGCCTTGTCTGGTTGGGGACATTCTTGGGGGAAGGTGGCACTTCTTGCAGTGGCTAGCATGGTCCTGATAGTGTTGGGTAGCAGGTGCCACTTCCTGTAGTCATCTGTTTTGGAATGATTCCTCTGATCCCTCTGTTGGAGGTCTCAGGACAGCCTTCCAGTGATTTCATGTGACGCCAACGTCTTTTAACTTGGGAGGCATGGGTTTACTGCTGTGTTAGTTGTTACCAGTACCTGGTAAGGTCCTTCCTCATTGAGGTTCGACCGCAGTCTTTCCTTGATGTCTAATCTAGAAACTTCAAAAATAAAGAAATTTGTGTTATTATTCAAGAGAGTAAAGGACAGAGAGTTAACAGAATATTTTGGTGATTCAAAAGAAAACTCTGTTATCTAGGCACAAAATAACTTGATCATTTAATGGAAAGAACACTCAAAATTTTACTCTTTTTTTATATTACCTATATTATAATTTCCAATAAAAGATTTATAAGACTTTTTCTGTGAATACATCCATTTATATGGAATCCATTAATTCAAGGGACTATACTGTTGAATTTGTCTTTTTGTCATTTATAGAATTAAAGTTTATTAATATTCCTTTATATGTATATGTAGACACACATGTATGCATAAAGTATATATCATAGAGTTAATTTTAGTTTTAAAATAATTTCTCTTAGCATATTAAAACAAATACATGTATTACATTGAATTGTCATTTAATAAACAATTCCTTCACAGACATACTATATTCATTTTCTTATATGCACTTTCATATTTTTCTGCAATTATTTATACTCAGAATAGTCTTAACAATTTTTATTAATCACCATATTTAGCCAAGGTAACCAATTTTTGTTTTCTCCATGCACAGGGAAAACTAAAAGGCAAGAAACCCAAAACCGCCTAATTAAATTTTTATGAGCATGCATTTTAAATTATCTTTTACATTTTCAGGAGCCAAATTAAACACATCATCCAAAGGCATTTTCACATTCTATTAATCTATAGCTCTTATATAATGTATATGAATAAGGATAAATTAAAACTACATATATAGAGATTTTTTTTTAGCTTAGAAGCTCTTCAGTATCCAAATATTACATATCAAGTAACTCAACATTTCCTAGTCTTAATATTTTAGCTAATTATTTGGAAACCACTAATTTAGCTAGAGCATTAAGTCTTCATGATTTGTAGTATTGTAAGAATTTACAAGATCAAAACCCTTTAAAAGACATGTGTCCTATGATTTTGCTTAAACGTAATTTTATATTTTGTAATCTTAAAAAATGTGTTCCAATGATTCTTTTCTTATCCCATAAAACCAATATGCAAAATTTATAAAGTTAAAATCTTGAGAATTTTTATCTTAGGTATTATGTATACTAGAATATTGTCTTAGCATTAATTTTACATAATAAAATCATGACAATCTAGACATAGTTTTTAACAAATATGATTAACTCATTCCAATTTGCCCAAAGTTTGTTTATCAGAAATATTACTGGATACTTTAAGGGATATACTTTATAAACTTTGTATTCATGGGCAAAATTTAAATAATCTTAAAATCATATTTAAAAGCTCTTATATTGAAACTAAGATATTTTCTTCTCTCATAGTTATAGTAGTGAAGGTTATTATTTAAATACATTTCTCTATATTCTATAATGCAAAAATAGTTTCTTGACTTTTTTCTTAGACATTTCCAACTATTGTATGCAAAATGATGGCAATGATCTTAAAATTTCTCAAGTGAGGGAAAAACAAGAGGGATAGAACAACAAAAATATAAGAAGTGAGAGCAGCTTTAGACAAATATGAAATTATCACTGTAAAAAGTTGCCCTCTCTCTGTGAGGAGAAGGGAGAAAGTTGAGATGCAGGAAAACCTTTTTTATATATGCACATAGATACATAAGAGAAAGCAATTAGAAGTTTAAATAGTAACTCAAACCCTTGACAATTTTATCAAGTCATACAATTAAAAGCCAGTGCTTATTAATCCCTACAAAAAGGAAGTGGAGGGGAAATCTCCCACATTAATCACAGTAATCTTTCTCTTTTAGACAGAACAGTTATACAGTCTCCTGAGAGTTGCTTTTCCCTTTTTGCCCCAGGCATTTCTCAGGTCAACATTCTTGTTTATGTCAAAGTTCCCCAAGTGGCCACTATAATTCTAATTTATGCTCCGTGAAGTTATGCCAGGAGGTAGCACAAACTTATCAGCAGACAAGCCCAGGAGAGACTGACTGTTGATCAAAGATGAAGTATCACCTGTGTTTCTAGTCCTCAACCCCAAAGCTGCTTCTACTTGCTGACCTGAGAAACCAGCAGTCAGCTGGCTTGCAGAATGTACGAAGCTCTTTCCCAAAGCCGATTTCTCATTCTCAGAGAAGACTGGGGAAACTCCTCATAGACAGACAGAAGACGGACAAACAGAAGGCAGGAGATAGTATTAAAAGCCAAATTTCACCAGGGGACATCAAAGGCTGATCAGAAACCCAAAATTCCAGGAGGTAAATAATAAACTGATATTGAAGGACCAGAGAGACAACCAGAGTCTCAATTCAGTGTAAAACCACACAAAGAAAGAGACCTTACATGTCTTGAGACTTAAGGAGTCTTAGATATGCACATTATTACTGAGTCAAGAGGGCCAATCCTTAGTAGGCAGGGTTTTGACCAAACAGCAAGAGAAGCTCCAAATGCCCTAATTAGGACACCGGGAGCGAGTTGTGGTCTGACACAGTCTATTGGCTCCTTGCAGCAAGGAAGGTCACACGCCAGAGGAACCACAGCTTGGGAGAATGGAGGCATTAGGTGAAAGTCATATGAAACAGTATTTTGGTAAGTTAAAGCAGGGCTGTGTGTAAAGGGGCAACATTAGGTCTGGATGGGGAAGTGGACACAGGGTTTCCTTTCCTTAGAAACTACAAATTGAGATACACATGGAATGTTATACCCCAAACCCCTTTATCTGAATCTGTGCCTGGGTTGGAAATCAAGGTGGCCGCCCTGTGTCAAAATTAATTAGATCCTGCAGGCAAGAGTGGGATGTTTTTTCCTACTGAAATACTTCAGAAGCAAATTTTCTGATAAACTATGATTTTAGAGAACAAAATTTCTAAGTAACAATAGTCATAGTGAGTAAGTAACATACTACTGAGTGTCATTAGGACACTTAACAGCTGCAGTGTTTCATTGGGAGAAATAATTTTCTGCTAACTTTGCAGCTGGCTTTATCCGTGTTTTGTGTCTGTTTTCCCAGCTTGTGAATGGCATGGCAGGTTTTCATTTTCTCAGGCCAAACTAATTTTCACTTTCTCAGCAGGTAACCTAGTCTCTTGTTTCACCAGCTTGTGGAAGTTGCCAGAAAGAAGCTGCTGTGGCATGGGGACATCTGGTAGAGTGATAATTTCTTCCCTTTTCTGTTTTCCTCTTCCTAGCATGGGCTATGTAACTTTAGGGCCACTGCAGCCTGGGGTTATTCCTGAGGGAGGAACCCACAGGGAAGAGAAGAAAGCAAGCCTTGGGATGAGGTATAAAAGGAATACAGGTTTACCCCTGCTATCCAAAAGTAGAGCATTCCAATGAAACTTTTTTTAAGCCGAAATGGTGTGAAGTGAAGCAATTGACATTAATTTATATGGAAAAACTTTTGAGCTTCCCAGATCCAAAAAATAACCTCTCCAAGGCTTTTCTGATGCTTTAGGACATACCTTGTGAACAGATGCACAAAATGAAGCACAGATGCTCACAGACACAGTTCATAGCTCTGGCGGCTTGATGCTTGAGAGGCCGGGTGTGGCTCCCAGGAAGGAGCCATGTGGGGCCGCTCTAGCTGCCTGGGTGCACACTACCTCTAACAATGCTCACTGCCCATCAGACACTCTGAACGCTGTTTTCCCTTTTTGCCTCTTGTCATAGAAAGCAAAAATCCATTTCGGATTTCTTTCAGTTAGCGAAAACAATACTAATGTAGGGCTTTCGCAAAAGTGAAGTGATGTAATGCTAACTTTCAAAGAGCCAGGGATACCTGTATTATGAAGTCTAAGATACAGGGGAATGGGATGGGGCAACATGCTTCAGGTGCCCCTACTCTGGCCAGACCCTCTTGTTCTTAGTCTGTTCCTGGCTGCACCTTACAGCCTCTGGCAGTTTTGGTTACTGCTGGTCAAGCTCTGTGCAGGAGGGTTGGGAGAGGATCGTTGTGGAGGATGACCTTTTGCTTTGAAGAGGCCTGTGAAAGATGCTGTTCCCCATGTCCCCACTGGTTCCCACAGTTTCTCCGCGTGGGCATTCTTTAACTCTGACCTTCACTCTTTCACCAGCGGTTTTGTCAGATCCACTTGTGGCCAGTTTTTCAGCCTCTCTTCCCAGGACCTTATGGTCTCATCAACCCCCTCGCTGCCCCCTAGCCCGTGTGTGACTCCGCTCCTGCATGGTCTGGTTTCTTCCCACTGCGCTGCCCTTCACAACGGGCCCCGCTCCATCATTCCTTTTACCTCCATTACTGGCCGCCCCTCTGCCACTAGAGGCCCTGCCACTGTCTCCCGCATTCTCACTCGTTCCTTTTCCACTCCCATGGTGGCTTTATCTCCTCTGCCTGGGAGTCCTTCTTGCCTTGGGCTTTCCTGATCTTTCACGTCTTCCTTCACCTCCACTACCAGTTTTTTCATCTTTTGCACCAAGGTCCTCTCTGACAGCACTCCGTCCTCGAAGGGCCCTTATTCAGTCTGAACACTGGGCACCGGATCCCTTTATGCCTCTGGAGCTACAGTCTTCATGGACCATCTTCTCCCCCTTCATTTGCCCTTCCTCTTCCTCTCCCCTAGAACACATTCAGATACCAGACCCCTCTTCCCCAACCAGATCCCACCTCGTCACATGATCCTATACTTTTTGTAAGGATCTCAACCACTCATCTTCCACCAACATCTATTTACTCCATGAATCCCACTGATTCATTTGTCGGTTACTCCCCCCACCCCCTCCATCAACCATTGTTACTCCGCCACTGCCAGACTCTACTTTAGCAATGACTTAATTTAACTTGATTTCAATTCTACTGAACACTGTTTCAGAGAGCTCATTGTCAGAAAACTCCCTTTTGTCTGGCTTCTTTTGCAAGAAGCTCAGGCATTGACTGCTCAAAAAATGTGGCCATTTCAACATTCTCTGGGCAGGTGTCTGCTGAAGACTTGTTTCTTCCTACCTTATCATACTGTGATTTCCATCAGGAGCTTTGTTTCTCTGTCCATTGGGTTCTGTCTCTGGGGAGACCCTGCAACCTGATGTGTGGAAGCAGGTAGACATTCCTTCCTCAGCTCTACTGTCCAGAAGCTCCTGGAGGTAAAAGTCACAAAGAATGTCGGTGTCCAGACTTTGGAGGAGAAAAACGGATTAATTTCTAAAACAACAGAGGGCATACTACCAACTCCATTGTTTTACAACTCCCTTAGACTTATTTGCTGTTGAGCACTACACCACAGACTTCTGTTCCTTCTGGAAATATGAAGGCCGACCAGAGTAACTGCATAGGCTATAGGAACTTCCAAATCCCAAACCCTTGGGAGACTCTGCAGTAGAAATGTAGCTAACTCTTCGGAGGTGTCCCCTCTCTGCACAGTGAGGCCTTGCTGGCTGCCCTCCTGTTCTTTGATAGGTACCCACCAACCAGTCTTTCTCTTCTTCAATCTCTAATGCCCTCCTTCACAATCCAAATGCAGATAACTCGTCCCAAGACCTTGCTACCATCTTGAAGCCTAGGCCAAGCCCATGGGGGAAAGTTCCGGAGGGAAGGAACTCACTGGAGATGAAGAGTATCTTCTCTAAATTCAGTTTCCACTTTAGCAATATAATGGAGATGAATTTAGGAATTCTTTCAAGGGTTAAACAGTTGAGGGGGATAGTCAAGGCCAAGGGATCCCAGCTCTTGAGCAACCTGGGTCAGCAAAAGCCCTGGGTCCATAACCTTCAAACCCCAAGGAAAAGCCAGAAAAAGAATATAACCCCAAAGGATGAGAGGACCTTATGAGAGCAAAGCATAAATGAATCAAAGAGGGGGCATAGGATTAGAGACCTGCTAAGCCTGACACTCACCCTTGCAGACCAGGGACTTAGGTGACATCCTAGTGAATCAGAACCCTAGTTTTTGTCCCAGATGGAATAGATTTCTATAAAATATCACTTGGGGAAAAGGATGAGATGCTTGTTTCAGTGGCTTTGTCCCAGGACACAAGCCTAAGGGCAAGAAGGTCACTTGCCCAAAATAGTGGATTGTCTAAATGCAGTTGAAACCAGAGTAGTGTTTGAAGTAGCATAGTCACTGTTCCGAGCATTCGTTGCACCTCCGTAAGAAAAAGAAAGCTCCCTGCCCTTTTGGAGTTTACACCCTTAGCGCTTCAATCAGCTACCTCTCATCCTACTCAAAACTTTATCAAACCTCTTTCATTTTCTTCAAGCTTCTACCCCTCCTGCCCCCACTGATTTGCCGTAGGACCCATTTCTGAAAGGAACTCGAAGCCTTGGGATGTTAACTTTTCATCGTCAAATCTTCAAAACCAGTTGTATCCCACACTCCCCTCGCCCTTCCTTACTGCTGTGTGAAAGAGGGATCCTCCTGGAGCTTCCGGGACGCCCGCGAGAAGGGATTCGTGCCCTCATTTTCCTCATCAGAACTCTTGTTACACTATTTTGTAATTGTGGGCAACTTTCTAGCTTTCCTGAGGCCGGGAACCTTCTCTATTTCCCTCACTACCGGCCTGGTGTTTGGCACCAAGTTAACGTCAATAAACGAGCCAGTGCTGGACTCTATTGTTTCCGGGTGGGGCCGTTCCGGGAGGCAGTCAGAGCCTGGGGGCGGGGCCATCCGAGAAGAGGGCGTGGCCTGGGCGGAGGCGGGGCCACATCCGCGGGCTGCAGCCTCAGGGCGGGGCCCGCGGGGCCCGTTCGCCTCCCGTGGTTGGGCTTCCCTGGGGATTGAGTCTGGAGGGAAGTGTTGGGGATTCACCCTCCCAGAGGAGGTTATAACGAACCTTTCTGGCGGCCTCCGGGGCTCCACCATTTGGCCTTTCACCTCAGCCCGCGAGGCATCAAGTTTTGGCCGCTCCCTGCAGGCCACGGTCTCTCCTCCAAAGGCCCAGAGAGGCCTGGGGAAGCCTTGAGTGCAGATGCTTCTCTGCCTGAACTCAACCGAAGTCACTTTCTTCGTCATGCCAGTAACACTGAGCGCTGCCTGTCAAGGCCTCCCCAGCTGCCCAGGGCAAGTGCTCAGGCTTCAGTCGCAGATGTCCTTGCACCGGGCAGGAACAGTGACGTACACCTACCTAGTGAGGTTGCCGCAGCCGTGCGAGGAACCTAAAGCCTCTGCTCAGCGCTAGGGCTCAGGGCTGGCCCCTGAGCTGCTGGGCTGGCGCGGTCAACGTCTCACACACTTCCTGCAGGACCGGTATCCAAGTTACGGAGGGTGCTCGCCACCCTCTGGGAATTGTTCAGGACGCTTTCAGGAAGGCCCAGGTGCTGTTGGCGAGGCCAGGGGGGAATGTTTTGCCGGAGCACCCTGGGAAAGGCCCATCAGGGCAGTATGACAGTGGAAATGTTCCTCTGTCCTGAGGGACCGAGGCACGATGCTGTGCAGACCGCACGATGGCACCTCCCTCGGTATGCAGAGGCCTCCTGCCGACCAGGTGGAGCTGTAAGGCAGAAACTCTGCAGCTGCCTTCACAACTCAGGTATTGATAAAGCCATATTTTTATTGAGCACCCCTCCCACCAAGTCTCAGCACCTGTGTTAGGGACTAGAAATGGAAAGAAATGCTACATTTTTCTTTTTTCTTGACAGGTTTTATTTTTCTTGCATGAATATTACATACTGAATTTGCAAGCTACAGAATAATAGATCACCCCTACTAATCGTACCCCATAGGCTCCTACCCTCAAAACATTTAATACTGATACTTAATATTTCTTTCAGATTTTGCTATGTATATTTTTAGTGTTCAAGTTATATATATATATATATACACACACACACACACACACACATACGTATAAACACATATTTTTAAAGGAAAGAAACATTTAACATTTTTCCTAAGCAATTTTTGCATTATTGTATACTCTTTCTAAACATTTTTAATGCCTTTCATATTAACCATTCTGTTTCTCTTTGTTCAAAGTTTTTGATATTATAAGACGTTATTTAACATGTCTGTGCTTAATTGTACTTGCTTATGAAGTGCCTTATTCCAAAAAATCACAGAGCTTTTCCTGAACTTCAGATTATTTTCTAATCTACAGTAACACTACCCTTGAGCCATTTCTCTTCTCTTTCTATAGTCTCCTTAGATAAGATATCTACCGGTGTAGTAAGTTATTTCAGTGCTAACCTCTCCACATTGCTTCAAATTTATACATCCAGATGTTTGTTAAACATTCTGAACTTTGATTTCCCATAGATACCACAAACCTAAAATCTGTAAATGTAGCTCATTATCTTCCTCTCCTAGTCCCAGTGCCTATTAATAGCACCTGGCCCTGAAGACAGAAACATGAGTCTTTTTATGTTCCTTCTCCATCCTTCCCGTCCTTAGTCACCAAGTTCTGCTGATTCTATCTGCAATATATTTCAACCCTTGAATTCTCACTGCCACCATGGCAATTCATGCCTTCATCAACTCCCATCAAACTATGCAGTAGCCTCCTAACTAATTTCTAATCCTCTACTTGATGATCTTTCTCCACTACATTAGCGTCTTCTGCTACTCTCTGCTCTGTCCTCTTCTACTCAATGCCTCTTTTGTTAATTGCTTCCATGTCTTCACTCATCATGATTTCTCTACCTGGAGTTCCTTAGGCAGAGAAACACTGGAGTTCTCACAGTCTGCTACAGTAGGTCAGGGGTACTCTTTTATTCAAGAAATTTGTGCATTTCATCCAAGTTGCTGAATTTATTTGCAGAGTTGTTTATGATATTTTCTTATTACTGTTTTACTGTTAGTAGAGCCAGTGATGTCCCCTCTTTCATTGTTGATACTGGTAATTTGTGTCTTCTCCTTCTTGATCAGTATGACCAGAGGTTTGTCTGTTTTGGAAATAAAAAAGACTTTTGGTTTTATTGATTTTCTTTATTATTTTATGGATTTTATTTTATTAACTTCTCTTCATAGTTTTAGTATGTTCTTCTATTTGCTTTGGTTTTATATTGCTTTTCTTTTTCCAGTTTCTTAAAGGTGAATACTTACTAGATCATTGATTTGAGACCATTCTTAATATAAACCTTTTTGACGTACATATAACTTGAGGGTATTATTGCTTTTAAATAAAAGATACAGCTCAGAACTGGATCATTTGGCTTTTTCTCTTGTTATTTCTTCCCAGTGCAAAATGCTTGCATCTCCTAACAGCCAGGATTCTTTTAAATCTATAGTTTGGCTCAATGCAGTCAAGCCTTAGCATAAGCCTCTTTGTAATTTTAGCCATTTTCTGGAAAATTGGCTTAGTCTGCTCACCATAGCCACTCTGTTTGCTGTTAACACTGCTTCTCCTGGACACACGAGAATCCTGCCTGTCTTACACTTTTGCAATTTCGTGGGATTGGGGATTGCCATACTTACAGAAAGTATTGTGGGTTTTAGGAACATTGACTGTGTTTGTGGGGGTGGTATTGTTATATACATTCTTATTTATTTGTTTTTTAAAAATTGAATTATAATTGATATACAATATGATTTAGTTTCAAGTCTACAATATATGATTCAAGTTCTATGCATTATTAAATCCTCACCCCAACTAATGCAGTTACTATGCCAAAATAGGAAGATGTTACAGAGCTATTGACTATATTCGCTATGCTGTACTTTGATCCCCTAATTTTTTATTGAGATTTTGTGCATATTTATCCCCTTCATCTATTTCACCCACCCACCCCATAGTAATCACCAGTCACTTTTCAGTCTATGAGTCTACTGCTGTTCTGTTAATTTTGTTATTTTTTTGACTCCACATATAAGTAAAATCATATGGTATTTGTCTTTCTCCATCTGACTTATTTCACTTAATCCTGGTACCCTCTAGGTCTGTCCATATTGTTGCAAATGGCAAGATTTCTTTCTTTTTGATGGCTAAATAATATTCCATTCTGTATATGTACCACATTTTCATCCATTCATCTGTTGATGGATACAGGTTGCTTCCATATCTTGGTATTGTAAATGTGGCAGTAAACATATGTGGCAGGGGTGCATATATCTTTTCGAATCAGATAATTTGTTTTCTTTAGGTAAATTCCTAGAAGAGTTACTGGGTTGTATGGTATTTTTGTTTTTAATTTTTTGAAGAACCTCCGTACTGCTTTCCACAGTGGCTGTACCAATTTTCATTCCTATTGACAGTGTAGGAGGGTTCCCTTTTCTCCACATGCTCGCCAATACTGGTTATTTTTTGTCTTTTGGATAGTGGCCATTCTGACTGGTGTGAGGTGATATTTCAGTGTGGTTTTGATTTGCAGATCCTTGATGATTAGTGATGTGGAGTATCTTTTTTATGTGTCTGTTGACAATTTGTATTTCTTTGGAAAATGTCTGTTCAGGTCCTCCACCCATTTTTTAATTTCGTTATTTGTTTTTTTGGTGTTGAGTCATATGAGTCCTTTATATATTTTGCATGTTAATCCTTTATAGGATAAATTGCCTTTATGAATATGTTCTCCCATAGTGTAGGTTGCCTTTTTGTTTTGTTGGTGGGTTCCTCTGTTGTATAGAAGGTTTTTAGTTTGATGTAGTCCCACTTGTTCATTTTTTATTTTGTTTCCCTTGCCTGGGGAGATGTGTTCAGAAAAAAATTAGTTATACTTATGTTCCAGAGATTTTTGCCTATGTTTTCTCCTAAGAGCTTTATGGTTTCATGTCTTACATTTAGGTCTAATTCGTAATGAATTTACTTTTGTGTATAGAATTAGACAGAACAGAAATTCAGTTTTATTCTCTTGCATGTAGCTGTCCAGTTTTCCCAATACCATTTATCAATGAGACTGTCTTTTTTCCATGTATATTCATGGCTTGTTTATCATATATTAACTGGCCATATATGCATAGGTTTATTTCTGGGATCTCTGTTCTGTTCCATTGATCTGTGGGTCTGTCCTTGTGCCAGTACCATACGATTTTGATTACTGTAGTTTTGTAGTATAGCTTGAAGTCATTGTAATATCCCCAGCTTTGTTCTTTCTCAAGATTGCTTTGGATATTTGGGGTGTTTTGTGGTTCCATATGAATTTTAGGATTATTTGCTCTAATCTAAGTGCCATTGGCATTCTGATAGGGATTGCATCAAATCTGTAAATTGCTTTGGGCAGGATGGCCATTTTGGCAATATTAATTTTTCCTATAAATGATCATGGGATAGATTTCCATTTATTTGTGTTATCTTCAACTTCTTTCATCAGTATCTCCTAGTTTTCAGAGTACTGGTCTTTCACCTTCTTGCTTAGGTTAATTCCTAGGTATTTTATTCTTTCTGATGCAATTGTAAATGTAATTGTTATCTTGATTTCTCTTTTTTTTAGTTCTGTGTTAGGATATAGGAATGCAACAGATTTCTGTATATTGTCTTTGTATCCTGCAATTTTGCTGAACCTAGCTATTAGTTTTGATAGTTTTTTTGGCAGAATCTTTCAGGTTTTTTACATATAGTATCGTGTCATCTGCAAATAGTGACATTTTTACTTTGTCCTTACAATTTATATGCCATTTACCAGTTTTTCTTGTCTGATTGCTTTGGCTAGGACTTCCAGTATTATGTTGA